ATCTGAACAGAAAGAAGGCTAGAAACACGCTTGGCCAGGAAAACGCCGTCCAGGCGAAGTCAGGGCTGCGGAATGCTGAAAATTGCCAAGGCTGTAGGCGCAGATGAAGTCACCGCAGAAACATTAAACCCTGGATGCAGCCTGCTCACGAAGGGGCTGTGCAACTGGCTTGACACATGCCGGAAGACCGCATCCCTGCCCATCCAGGGGAAGGACGCTGCTGTTGCTCTGCTGTGCAAAAGGCAAGGTAACGAGAGAGAGGGCCATTTGTTAAGGGTGCCCAGAAAGGGAAAGTTAGGCCAAATAACGATCGAAAGGGTGCAAGAAGTGACAATGAGCAAAATTTGGGAGGTGCCCTGCAACTTTACACCAGGCAGGAGACGTGCAGGCCAGATGTTTGCTCTTCCAGAGGCCATGGAGAAATGAACGGTTGTGGATTCCTATGATAAAGTGAATAAGCCTGAGGAAAGGTTTTGCACGAACACAGAGCCACAGATTGGTTGCTGAAGGTGACAGGGGAGATCACAATCAAAGGCATGTTGGACTGGTGGTTCGGCAGGGGGGCAGACAAGCACGTGCACCGCCCAAAGGAGAGTGGAGCCGGGGAGGGTCCCCGAGAGGCTCCAGGGCTGGAGCAGCCTCCCCGTCAGGAACGGCTGCAACACGGGGGGCTTTTTAGTCTCGAGAGGAGGCGAACAAGGGGACGGGATGGAGGTGGACAACAGTGCGCACGGTGCGGATAAAGCGATGAGGAGCAGCTCTTCTCCCCTTCCCGAAAACCAGAACCGGAGGTCGCCCGATGAAACGGACTCCTGGAAGAATCAGGACAGAGAAAAGGAGATAATCAGTCCAGCTGTGGGATTCGCTACCCTGAAATACGGTGCTGGTTTCCAAGGAAGTCCTGGGATCCGTGGGTCTTGGCCTTGAGGGCCGTGGGGCTGCCCCCGAAGGCCATCTGCTGGGGGGCCAGGGGGCTTCCTCGGGCCGTTGGTGGGCCACTGGGAGAACAGGCTGATGGGCCAGACGGGCCAGGGGTCCCACCCAGCAGGGGCCGGCTTCTGTTCTGATGATGGGCCGTTGGGAGTGATGGCCGAGGGGGACTGTTTGGAGAGGAGATCGTGCGGGCGCAGGGGCTTAAATTGAGCTCTCTGGCCTCAAGGCAAACCTCTGAGGTGCTCCCAGTGCCCAATGAGCCACCTGTTACAGGCAGGAAAGTTGGCCCTGGGGGGCTTGGGCACTCCTGGGCATGGAGGAGTGCTGGCCCGCTGCCCCAGTGCAGAATCCGGATGATCACGAGAGGGCTGCCAGAAGCCTGCATCTGCCAAGTCCCTTTGCTGCCCTTAGCAAACACCCCAGTGGGACTCAAGGAGGCTACCGGCCACGCCGGCCCCCAGCCTGCATCTGCCTCCTCCTCCTCCCCCTCCCAGCCGTTCTGTGCCCTAGACAAATGCCGAAGTCCCTCTGTGGGCACACGCTGGCCCTCTGGCAGCCCCACGCAGGGCGGGCTCATGTGAAGACTGCAGGCCTGGGGAGGGCCCCCTCGCAGCCTATCTTGAGCGCCCCTCTGTCACTCCGTGTGTACTTCTGCCTGCAGACTGTGCCGTGCGGCCGGCGGAGCACGCGTTCGATGGGTTGCGGGTTGCGGCAAGCTCGGCTCAGAAAATCCATACATCAATGAACAAGGAGGAAAATAAAGTAGAGGGTTGCACGTTATATGTCAGAATCCGCAGCAATCAAGATATATATCAACTAGAGGACTGTTCTATCGGTATAGTAAATGCCATGTGTATACTTTGATTTTAGGGAATGTTTTCTTAGGTTGCTTTGATTCTGCCATTCTCACTGGCGAGGGCGGGGAGTGAAGGAAGACAGCGCCGGAGGAAGACTGAAGGCCGGGAAGAAGACGCGCTATCGGGGCTAGGAATGCACAAGGCCGCACCTCCGGGAGAACCAAAAGTGGCGCCTAGAGCGAAGGGGGGGCAAGGGGGGTAAAGGGAGAGGGAAAATTACGCGGGCTTTACTCCTAGCAACGCTTGGCTCAGAGCTGCGCGTATCCGCCAATAAATGAAAGCTTTTCTGAATCTACTTTGGGTTTCAAGAGATTTGTCTGTATTGGGGCTTGAACACTGTAGACCTGACATTATACATAAGTGGAAATACCGTAAGCCACAGCAGGTAGGCTAATTTGGAAAACAAATACGCGTTAAAAGGTGCGGGGTAGCATCTGGTCCGTTTTGGCAACGAACGCCTCTTGAAAAGGGGCTCTGTAACACGCGTGTGCTTCTGCTCGCTGGGTTTTCCGTAGGGTTACCAGAGCAGCGCTTCCCTATCCCTCGTTTACTGGCACCAGCAACTCTGTCGTTAAGGGAAGCGGTCGCTAAGTGAAACTGCAACTGTGCTTGCGATCCGACAGACTCAACCGCGCTTTCGGCTGGGACGCCGCGGGCATCCTAGACCAAGCTAGACCCAGGAACGCCAGGGGATGCCTGGAAGCTTGGCGTCCGGGCACACCAGCCACCAACGGGCGCGTAGAGAAAAGCCGCACCGACGCGCCCTTCAAAGAGACCGTAAAGGGGCTAAGAGGGAGCCCAGAGGGCGGAGCTTGAACGACGGCGCAGCGCAGGCGGGAGGAGGGAGGAGGGACCCCGCCTTCCCTCCTCCCAGCATGTGCCGCGCGAGGGCGCGCTGGCTCCTCCGCCCTTCGCCCCGGCGTGCCGCGCGGCCCCGCCCATCAGGGACGGGCCGGGCGCGCTCAGCCCCTCCGCCCCTCTTCCCGGCGTGCCCCGCGGGGCGCGCAACCTTGGGCCAAGATGGCGTCGGCCACAGGCATCGTCCGCTTTATCCGCAACTGGCTGTCCGGGGTAAGGCCGAGCGGGCGCCGCAGCCGGGCTCCCTGCCGCCGCGAAGGGCCGAGAGACGTCTGCCCGGCCCGCGAGGCGTATTCCGAGCGTCCCTGAGGGCGGGGCGGGGCCTCGCTTCTTAGCCCCGCCCTTTCCCCGCGCGCGAGGGCTTCTGGGCTCGGTAGTTCCCGGGCGCTTTCGCGCGGCAAAGGCACGTGGGCTTTCATGTGGGGCCTTAGAACAGCGTGCG